GATTCCAGGGAACAGCCTTGGGGCTAAATTGCTATTTTAATAATTGCTGGTTAATGGCTTGTTCTGACTGGTTTCAACCAAACCTAAATGACTGCTGGAAACACCAGAGATACCAAGTTTCTGTTCATGTTCTGGAATTAAAGGATCACTGGGATTGGAAAGGATCCCTGCAGGTCTCTAGACCAACCTCCCTTCTTTTAAGCAGGGTCAACAATTAATTCAAACCAGCTTGCTCAGGGGTTTTTTCCAGTCAGATCTTAAAAACCTGCACAGCCTCTCTGGGCATCCTCTTCCAGTGTCTGGTTATCCTCATGGTTCAGTGTTCCTCACGAATTTGATTGATGTTCATGCCATTTCCTCCTCTTATTTCCTCATTTCCCATTGTCTTAATTTCCTTTTTATCCCAATGAAGACATTAGATAGGACAAGTCTCGGGGTAAAGCCCTGAGGAACTGCAGTTGTCTCCAGCCTAGAGGTGGAGCACAAACCGATACTTTTCAAGCCCCAAATCCAAACACTCTTTGCTCATCTGTTGGTTCATCCACCTGGACCACAATAAATTTACAATATTCTATGAACAAGCTATTTGAGAGTGAGATTTTCAGACAAGGGACTTGAAGGGGAGGGAGAAATCTGCTCAGAATTCCCCCCTCTGGTGCCCAGGTATTTGAACATCTGGAATTCAATGCTGCCTGCTGGAATACCTCTGTAACACAGCAGGATGCATTAATGAGAGTTTCGATCTTAAATCCACAACATCAATGGAATTTCTAGTTGTCAGGCCGTTAACATTATTCAAACATAGGGTTTTTGTGGTTTCAGTTCCCATTTTATTTTCTTGTAGAGCCAAAGTTCATTGTGTTGAGCGGCCAAGTGTCCTCCTTACACTTGAAATGTCTATGAAACAATTAAATATTGCTTATTGCTCATGACAGCATTCTCAGGATGCACTGCAGGGCGAGGAGGAGGGTATTTGTTGGAGAAATTAGAAACTCTTCCTTTAAGATCTCAGCTGGTTTAATATCCTCGAGCACCAAAAGTGCCTTGCTCACGTTTTGGAAAATACCACAAAAACGTTCAAAGCAGAATCCACATAAAATTCCAGTATCATCTTCAACCATCATATAAAGTGCCATCTGATATTCTTCCTGGTGGGCGAATTCGCCTTCAGACATTTCATTTTTCCCTGCTCTTGTATCTCCATGTGGTCTTTTGACTTAATATGCAGAGCAAGTTAATGAGCACCCAAAAAAAAA